TAATTATGTGATGTGAGGGAGATGGTAGTTAATGCTATGGTAGTAATTGTTTTGCATTTTTCTTTCTTTTTGAATTAATTTTTTAAAAAGTAATTTTATTTATTTATTTTGAGAGAGAGAGAGAAAGCATGAGTCGAGGAGGGGCAGAGAGAGAGAGAGAGAGAGAGAGAGAGAGAGAGAGAGAAACCCAAGCAGGCTCCACACCATCAGCATAGAGCCCAATGCAGGGCCTGAACTCAGGAACAGTGAGATCATGACCTGAGCCAAAATCAAGAGTCAGACACTTATCTGAGTCCCCCAGGTGTCCCATGTTTTGCAATTTTGTGAGTATATCAAATTAGCACATTGGACCCCCTAAACTGACACAATATTAAATGTAAATTTTATCACAGTAAAGCTGCAAAGAATAGTTTTGGATGCATTGGTCACATGTATTTTAAAATTCATATCAGATTATGCTGATGTCTGGATCACCTGTAGGTTTGTTTCTATCATCTTATTTTTCCCTTGCTTCTCTTTTTGGTATGCTTGTTAATATTTGTTTGAATACCGGATATTGCAAATCAAACAGGGTAGTGGCTTTAGATGATGTTATTTTCCCCCAGTAGTGATATAGAATAAGAATAGTTTCTTTAATTTTGTCAGAGACTGCAATGCCTTGAGGCTTAGCTCCATACTTTGTAATGATTGTTTTGCCTCTGGTGTACCCCTTCTTTTAGGCTGTTGCCTCTCCAACCAATACCTTGGAGTGTTTACCAAAACTTGTCTTCCTGTGTGGATCACCAACTCTACTTTTTATTTCCCTATCATGCAAATCTCTGATAAAATGCATTTCAGATCCTTTCTGCTTGATTTCTTTGTCTTTGGGCCTATGAAAGTTAGGAATAGGAATGCTTCAGGGGGATGGTGCATGCTTTTATTTGCCTTTTCTGTACCTTTGCACTTTCAGGGATCTGGATCATTCACATTCTGTCTTGGCCAGGTAGAACTCCATGGTTTGTTTCTCCAGCCCATGATATTGCTGAAAGCTCTGTTGGCTTCTCCACACTTTGCAGGCATCTGTAGGCCAGAACCCCCCAAGCCCCTCAGCCTGCACCGCTGAAGCCTGCCAGTGCCAAGGGGAAGTTCATTGCAGGACACAGGGCTCACCACAGAGAGCTCTACTTCCTTCCAGAACCTTAGACACATAGGGACCTGGGTCCTTAAAGAAACTTTTTTGCTTTATTTTGCTCTTTTAATATATTTTGTATTTAGTTGCCCTCGGTGGGAGTGTTGCTGTCCTATAAACTGCTCTGTCATAGCTGGAAGCATAAAATCCTTAAGCCTATATTTTGACCAAGATTTACCTGACTCAAAATTCCTTAATCTTTCTACTGTAGCAGAACTCAATATCTACTTTTCATGCAAATATGCCCTCAAATAATAAAAAAAAATCTGTTGATAAGACATGTGCACATTCAAACACACACACTCATAAATTATACTCAGGATTTCACCGAATGCATCACAAAACAGTTGCTCTGGATACTTTGAAGTGATGGTCTAAGTCCCAATTTAAATACAAATAAGAAAACAACATCACCACCATGAAAGCCTGGCTTTTCTTTTGTCCTAGATGGCAACCAGCTTTCACAGACACACAGAGAGAACCACAGTTTCCTGGAGGTCCATGACCACTGCCTGGGGGACTCTGGCTCAGTCATCCAGAGTGGTTACAAGGACATTGTCACCATATTGCTGTAGCTATGTCTTTGTGCTTTCTCCAAAACCCTTCCATCTATGGACCTTCCTCAGTTTTGTGAGTCAGGAAGGGTCTGTGGAGCTGGATGGAGGGAACACCTCAGCTTCAAGCATGTGGAGCCTCATCTGCCTGGGCATACCCATCCTATCCCTCTCTGGAATCCTGTCTTCTCCCTGGGAAACCCTCCACTGCCTCCCCCAGCCCTCCCTGCCCACTTGCTTCAGCTCCCTTTGGGCCTAGGTGCCTCTGTGGGTCCCACCTCTTGCCACCTTCTTACCTGGGCCCTCCAGCCATATCACATTTCTTGGAGTTGCCTGAACCCAAACCTCTCATATTTCCACTTCTTTGCAACACTGAACCTTCAATGAAAACACTCCTCCCTCACTTCCCAGCTTCTCTGGCCTCTCACAGTTGAAGATACTACTGTAAAGGGGCCTTCCTGGATCCCCCTGGCTGGGGGCTGGGGATGCCTATGGTTGGGGACCCACAGCTACCCTTGGCCGTTGTGCTCCCTGCCCTGGTTGCCTTTTATGACATATATACATCTTGACTCAGTCTCTTGTAGTCCCTTCCACCCCTGCCAAAGGAGCAGCCCTTACAGTGGGGGTGGTGCTGATGAAGTCAGATCCCTTTTAGCCTGGCTGCTAGCTCTGGAAGTGGAGGACACCAGCAAGGCCTATGGAGACAAGAAGTCTTGTTTCAGGAGCTAGGATGTGGGTCCTCACAATATTTCAATGGACTGAGGATGAGGGGAAGGGGTGAGGGTGTTACATTTTGACCCACAGCATGAGCACATGTAGGATGACAACAAATATGAACCCAGTGGGCTCCTGGGACAGGGCACACCAACCTGGCTGAAGCATGATACCTCTCTGCATGCTCAGATGGGGGAATAGTATCAGAGTCAGGATTTGAGTCCAGGTTCTCCGCTACTTGCCCTTAGCTCTGGTCTCAGACCTGCTTCCTTTCAGCAATCAGGGGTTGACCTGATGACCAGGACTCTGGACCTGTCAGTGGTTTCAAAGCTGCTGGATAGGTTGCATTGAGTCTCAGAGCAGAGTCTGAGTCAAGGACAAGGCTGGGAGCACCTGTGACGAAGGGCTTGAGGTTGAGGGAGAATGAGCAGAACTGTGCCTGGAGGACTAAGAGGTTCCATTTAATCTGGTGGCCTTGGAGACAGACAAGGAAAATGACATGGGGATGGGGCAGGAGGAGGCAAAGCCCTCCCTACCCTCAAAAGGCAGAACCAGTGAAACATCTTTGCTAGTAACACCAGATCCACTGGGGACCTGGATGTCTCCAGGGTGTACATCTTGGCTAGGATGTGGATGAGGTCTGTTGTCAATGTGACCTGGAGTCTGTTTTCTAGAGCCTGTTCTTTTGCTAGTCCTTGGGCCATCAGCTGGCCTCTCACTGCCTTTGTTCAACATCTGACAGTGGCCCCTGAGGGATCCAGGCCACCTCTGCTTTCACCTCTGGTGCTGGAATTAGGTGAGGCTAGACTGAAACTGTGGAGCTACCACTGCTGGGGCCAGGGCAGCAGGAGAGGGGCATTTCAGGAGGGAGGAGGGTGGTGGGCCAGCAGAGGGAGGGTGAGGAGAGGGAACAAGCCCTGTGAGGACTGCATGGGGAGGATCACAGTGCCAGCTTTGTCTGTCCAGGCCCTGCAAGAAGCAGATACTACAGTCCATCACTTCCAATAGTAGAAAGATATTTTAATAAAAGGTGTTTATAAAGTATGTGCATAGGGAAGCCACAAGACAGAGGGTGGTCTCTTGGGTCACAGAGCTGCAACCACACCAGGTCTGAGCGGGTCAGGGAAGGGATGGTTACAGGAACCCAGTGATGAGAGGGCTTCCTGACAGCAACTGCACTATCTCTGCTCAGCTGTGGAAGACCAGTGGACTGCTGGGTTCCTGCTGAGAAAGAAAAACCCTGACCTGTCACATGCCCTTGCCTCTGTCCCTCTGAACTCCTGCTTGCTGAGGCCAGCCAGGAGCAGAGGGCAGGAGGGCCATGTTGATCATCTGTCCAGGTCGGGGAGCATGGTGACCCAGGGTGGGGAGAAGGTCTGCAGAGGGACAAGGATAGCTATAGGCAGAGGACACTTTGTGGAGCTTTGTTGCCACTGTGTCCTGGGCCCCCGGCCCTGGGTGTGTGCTTACACTAAGGGGAGATGGGGTTTTCCAAGCCCCAGCCTTGGTCTTACTGTGCTCTGGATGTCAGACTGTTGGAGCCAGAGTTGGGGCCTCCAGCCTTGCTATCCCCAGCTTTACCCTCTTGGGACCCCTATATTCTGGCAGGGGTCTCCCTTTCCAGCACCTTTTCTACTTCCTTCTTCCTCTTCTCATGCCAGAAAATGTAGCATCTGGGCTAGGAAACAGGGTGGAAATAAGTCAGGGAAGGATAAGTCAGTGTGTCCTCCCTGGGGATGCTGGGGCTTGGAAAGTAACTCACCCACTTCCAGCTACAGATGCCAGGAACAGAATAATTCCAAGGCTCACAAACCATGCAAAGGTACTCCCAGTACTGGCTGAGGATATAAAAGAGGGAGCCAGGTGTTTGGGAATAGTGAGGAATCTGGGCCTCTTCTTTCCTCCTTTTATTTGCCCACTCAGCCTCTTCTTTCTTCCTTTCATTTGCCTACTCAGTCATTTGTTTGCATACACTTACTGAGCACCCACAGTGTGCCCCGCATATTTCTATAGAGGAGTGAGACACAGTCCCTGTGCTCTAGGAGGGAGACAGAGGAAGCAGAACAGGACAGAACAGAGGAGAAGTAGCCACTAGGAGGGCTGATGAGCCTCAGGGGGTGGGAGCTGGTCAGGGAAACATTCTTAGGAAACAGGACTTTTAGTTGGACTTTGAAAGATAAGTTGGATTTCAGTTTCAGTCCCACAATTAAGGACTGAACTGTTCTCCAGGCAGAGGAAACAGAAAGTTCAAGGGCAGAAGCACGAAGCTATCTGTATGTCCAGCATGTCAGCAGCTCAGTGTGACTGGGGAGTCAGTGCTGGTGGGAGATAAGCAGGGGCTGTTTGCACAGGACCCTCCAAGGAGATGGACTTTATCTGTGGGGCAATTGGGCTATAAACAAGGAGTGTCATAGGTAGATTTGCTCCTTGAGAAGGAGTTCTTTGGTTGTTAAGATGTGGCCAAGAGGGGCAGGGAGGCCAGTTGAGAGATGCTGACATAATCCAGGTGAGAAGTGAGGATGCCTGAAGAACCATGGTAGATATAGAAATGAAAATATGGCAACTCATTTAAGAATTATTTAATAAGATTTGATGATTGCATGTACCGAGTATGGGAGAGGGAGGTTCCCAATTTAGGAGGCTAAGGACTTAAATGGGGTCATTTGCTGAGAGGGGCCCTGAGAGAAGAGTAGATTTGGGCAGTGGGGATGATTTTGAACAAGTCTCCAGGCATGCTGGCTTTGAGGTCCTGAGGGACCTCTGGGGGAGATGTCCTAGAAGCAGGTGGCTCTATGGCTCTGAAGCTGGACATATGACATCAAGAAATTCCAGCAGGTGCTATCATCTCTGGTGAGGATGGAGTGAAAGAAGAGCTCGGGGCTGGGCAGAGGAGGAAGACAATCCAGACAGAGACAACAGCGATCTGGGATGGAGTGGGGGCAGGCTGGAGGCAGGATGGCCTGCTGCCACTGACCTGCACAAAGAGTGGGGTCTTTGCAGGTGAGGAAGTGTGTCTTGCAGTTGGCACAGTTCATGACCTCCAGTGTGGAGCGTAGGTCTGTGAGAGGAGATGGGCAGGAGCCTTAGCCAGAGCCATGTGCCCCTCACCCCTCATCCCCCCACCTAGGTCCCCACACATACTCACCACAAGACTTGTTGCAGGCTGCCCGGGAGGGTGAGATGGTAGAGAAACTGAGGTGCTGGGGAGGCAGACAGAGCCAGGAAGGGTTGGGGTGTGAGCAGGAAAGGGAGCTGGGAGGAGGTGTGGATAGGCACCCAGTATGTGGGCAGGGGAGGGGGCTCCTGGGGAGGCATGCAGGAGAGGCTGCAGACTGGGCTCTGCTCTTCTCAGTCCTGGGGAGGTGACTGGGCTCTGCTCTCCACAGTCCTGGGGAGGTGAAGGACTGGGTGGTGGGTGGGGGCCAGCTCCACCTCTCACCCTTCTCCTTCAGCTCCTCAGATATCTCATCCAGCTTCTCAGTAAACACCTTCTGCTGGATATGAATCTCTTCCAAAAGTGATGGTTTATCTGGGACGAAGAGGAGGAGGAGATGGTGCTTTCATCACCCACATTTTATAGTTGGAATCAATTGCATAACTCTTTCAAGGTTGGGAATTCAAGTCATTTTTTCAAACAAAAACTGCACAGAGCACACAGATGCTGTGTCTGTCACCACTCTTCCCCACATATCCCCACCCCAGGCCAGTGGGCCTTCTGGGAGTGCCTTGGGGGACTGGGTTTTGTCAACCCAAGCTTGGGGCTTCCTCACTATCTCGGAACTTCTTGATGGCTTCATCTATGTGATTGAATAATTTGGCTGCTGCTTCTTCCATACGGTTCTGATCTGAGAACGGGACATGGGATGAAGGGCAGTTGGGGATATAAGAGTCCAGGCCAGGTAAAGGGATCCCTGGTCTTTAGGCTGTGCCTCACCAAGATACCAGGGTTCTATGAAGACATGATCCTTCAGGAATAAGGTGTGGAGGCTTTGGGAGAGCTCTGTGGGTGGCCCTGGGGTGCCCCAAAGAATCTGCAGATCATAGTCTATCAATGCAGGCAGTCCTGGCCAGCAGAGGAGACAGCTCTTCCCATTGGCAGCAGGTAGGAGACAGCCGAGCAGGAGAAGCAGCATCTTCTGGGGGTCTCTCCTCTGTCCCCTTACCACCCTTCCTGGAAGTTCCATATGGAATGATGATACCCCCTTCTCCTTAGAAACCACATTCTCTTTGCAGAACAAAAGTAAATTCCGTAGGGTAAGGTGAGGGTCAGCTATGGTCCAAACTTGAGCTTTGGTGTCAGACCCAAGTCATCACCTCAATATCTTCCTCTGAAGTTGGAGTCACTGATGCTCTTGGGGAGGATTCTTGTGAGGACCAAGAAATGGCTATGCAGTCTTGTGGCTGACGGTCAGCTCTCCTAATGGCATTTACCACATATGAAATAGTTCAACAGGCTGAATGAAATTTGAGAGGTCAGGAGGGAGCGTCATAAAGAGATTAGTTGTGTAAAGAACCTGAATCACTTTTGCACACAGAGGTGGTCACTCACAGGGAAGCTTATGGAATATATAAACTAGTAGTTGTCTTGTGCCTGGCCAAGCCAGAGTGACTTAGACAGCTATTCCCATCATAGTATAGACAGATTATAGACAGAGTTACAGCCTATTCTTGGATGTACAGACAGAGAATTCCTCTTTGGGCCAGCAGTTCTTATGTGTAATGTGTTGAAGAAAAGCAAAGCACCTTACTCTTCAGTAAAGAAAAAGCCATTTGGATATTTGTCACTGCTCAGCTGGTAAGTTTTGCCTTTCCATGCCATGCTTCCAATCAGCTTCTGAGTGCCTCAGGCTGGATTATGAGCGGCTGAAAGCCATCAGGCATTTGAAGAATGTTTCTTACAGGAACAAGAGACAAAAACAATGGCAAGAACTCAAAACAAAAGCAAACAAAAACCACAGGGTAAAGAAAGGGCACAAAGATATGGTGAGAAGCACAAGAAAACTTAGAAACCCACTATTTACATTAAAATATTGTTTTCTCCAGACAGGAAGAGGCTGCCATGTAAGGGAAAAATAGAATAAGAAAGAGTTATTGAAGATTAAAAATATGATAGCAGGAATTTAAAAAATTCCATAGAAATGTTAGGGGATAAAGTTTCAGCAATCTCCCAGGCAGAAGTACAGAAAGACAGAGAAAAGAAATAGGGAAGAATAAATAATGTTAAATAATCAATCCATGAAGTCCCAACATCCAGCTAATACAAGTTTCAGAAAGAAAGAACAGAGAAAATGGAGGGAAAAATTATTTATGATGGAAATGGGGTAGAAAGTATATATGAAGATGAATTTTATCTAATAGGGAGAGGGATTTGGAGGACAGGCATCCAGATTTGCCAGAAGAAATAGCTGAATTGGTAAATTCTGTCAGATGGGCTCTGAGATGAGACAACGGTTGTGAATCCTGCAGAGCTGTTACTCTCCCAATGGCCTTGGACAGTTTTGGGGTGAAGGAATTAGTCTACTTTTTTTCTACTCAGGCAATGCTCTGGAACGGAAGGTGGGAAAAGCAATGCTTCCTCCCCTGATGCCCTAGTTAGCATTCAGCACGATGCAATTATGCAGGCCAGTAGATTACAATGTTTGCCATCACTCGTGAGGGGGCTCTCCCCAGCCTGTGCGAGAACAGAGTATTGACAAAAATGATATAAGGAAGAAATTTTAGAAAGACATGAATTTCCATATTGCAGGGGCCCATTGAAAAGGTATCCAGGGCTAGGAATAAGAAAAACCACACCAAAGCACAGAGAAAAAAATAGACCATGTACAATAATCAGAATGACTTCAGGTTTCTCAAAAGCAGTGTGGGAAAGTAGTAGACAATGGGGCAATCCTTCCATATTCTGAGGAAAATATATCCATTTTAGAATTTCTAAATTTAGAATTTAGACTGAGAAAAACATCAGCAAAGGAGGAAGAAAGACTAATGGTATTTCAGCTAGACAAGGTTTAAAATTAGCCTCTATTACCTTTTCTCAGAAAGCTATTGGAGGATGTGCTCCAAGTAAATGAACAAAGAAGGCAAGCAATATGATGAAGTGAAGTGGAAGTCAGGAAATGGAGAATCTAACATTGCAGAGAGGACAGGAGAATTTCTATAGGGACCATCAAGGACTGAATGACAAGCAGTCCCAACGGTTTGGTTCTCCTTGGGTGAAGAAAGGCTTGGAGTGGGTAGTCCAGATCAGCCTCCTCTGGGTACTGGGTTCCTTTCCTGACTTGCTTTGGTCTCATTTGCTCTCTTCTGTTTTTCCCTGGAAGAAATAATCTTTTCTCAAATTAGAGGTTGTGATGCTCAACACAGGCTTTTGTTTTAGGGGTGAAATAATCGGAATAGGTCTTCAGAGTGCTTTGGCATCAGGCTATTGGGAAACTCCTGCTTAAGAAAAGGGAATATTCTAATAGATGCAGTCATAATTCATAGAATTTTACCCTGAGATTTGAGGCTAAAGCCTTAGGGTGTGCTACATCTTCCTTTCCCTTAGTTTATGCTTATCCTCGTGGAAACTTGTGAGGGCAGGATTCAGGAGTCGCTTTGTCCTTGGCATGATGCCATGTCAGTTCACCCTCACATATGGGAAGGGCAGAGAGAGAGAAGGAGAGAGAGAATCCCAAGCAGGCTTCGTGCTGTCAGCATAGAGCTCAATGCAGGGCTTGATCTCAAAACCATAAGGTCATGACCTGAACCAAAATCAAGAGTTGGGTGCTTAACTGACTGAGTCACCTAGGCTCCCCATCCTCTTGTTTTTAACGTAATTCAATAGTATGTTTTAGTCTTGGAATGAATTAGGAATCTGGACTGAATTAGAAGTGTAGATAATAAAGGTAGCCCTTTCCATCGCTAGGAATCTTGGGGTATTAAAGCCTCCTTTGGTATGTTGAGATTACATCCATCTTGTGCTTCCTGCAATTTGGGCATGTCTAATAACTCTGACACAGGACAGCCCATCAAGTCTTTGAAGACACAAATCAAGCTTCCTTTTTTGAGGCCAAACATCGTCTCTCTGGCCCAAGAGATTTTTTAGGTTCCCATCTTAGAATATGGTTTCGTGTCTCCTCCACATTCTGATTTCTCTCCTTTCAAATCATTTCTCTCTGCCATTGGCAGGACAGAATTTGCAACTGGATCATCTTTGAAATTGGCATAGTTTGTTTGATAACTTCCTATCTCCATCACCAGTATGGATTTCCCCACATATTGTTTCATAACGAATTTCCACAAACTTAGTGGCCTAAAACAATGCCCATTAATCATCTTATGTTGTATTATAGGTCATTAAGTTTGTGCATGGCTGACTTGGGTTCTCTATTCAGGGTCTCACAAGGCTGAAATTGTGATGTTATAAAGTTGACCTTGAAAAACGTGGGTTTGAACTGTTTGGGTTCATTTATAAGCACAATCTTTTTTTTTTCAGTACATACAGTAGAGTACTATAAGTGCATCTTCTCTTCCTTATGACTTTCTTAACATTTTCTTTTCTCTATCTTATTGTAAGAAAAAAAGTATATAACCTACAAAATATGGATTAATCAACTATTTGTTATTGGTAAGGTTTCAGGTCAACAGTAGGCTATTAGGGAGTGTCTGGGTGGCTCAGTACATTAAGCGTCTGACTTTGGCTCAGGTCATGATCTCATGGCTTCTGGGTTCAAGTCTTGCATCGGGTTCTGTGCTGACAGCTTGGAGCTTGGAGCCTGCTTCCGTTTCTGTGTCTCCCTCTCTCTCTGCCCCTCCCCTGCTCGCACTCTGTCTCTGTCTCTGTCTCTCTCTCTCAAAAATAAATAAACATTAAATGGAACAAAACAAAACAAAAACCAATAGTCTGTTAGTAGTTAAGTTTTTGGGGCATCAAAAGTTATGTGTGGATTTTCCATTGTGTCAAGGGGTTGGTGCTCCTAACCCCTACATTGTTCAAGGATCAACTGCATATCATAATCTAATCACAGGACTGAAATCCTTTATATTGACAGGCCAGAGGACTGTATGTTCAAGGCCAGAGGATTATACTGGGTGTGGACACCAGGGAATGAGCATATTGGGGATCATCATGGAATGCTGCCCAGGCCCAAGCTTTTGATTCACAGATGCTGAGTTGTGGGGATGTTAGGGTAGTATCAGTGAGAGATCCAGGGACAAGTGGAACATTACACAGACATCTATTTTTATGAAGCCCAAAACCAGATTAGCTCAGTTGGTTGGCAAAACTATTTTAGAGATTATTGGCTTGTAAATCCAGTGCAGTTGTTATAAGGAAGCTTGGTTGAGATGGTGTTTGATAAATCCATGAGGTTGGTATCTGCTTGGTCAATGCCTTTACAAGAGGTTGGATTTAGTTGTTTGATTTTTTAATGAAAAAATTAGAAAAAATTCCGTACCAGATGACCCATCATAAATGAAATATTCATTTCATTTTCTTTCTGGTTAAAACTCATGTCTTGAAATGCTTTGTTGTATCTACTTAGAATGATCAATGGGTGTGCCTGGGGGGATTTCTCCTGCAGAACTTGTTGGGTAGAGAACATTAAAATTGCATGAAGCCATTCATGTAATTTTAATGACCATCAAAAGAATTTTGACTAGAATTGGGAGGAATTTAAAGTGAGATGCTTCTTCTGGGAAAGGCTGAGGCCATTGTCCTTTGGTATTCAAGGAGGCAAGGTCAAGCATCTATAGGACATTTCTCCATCCGCCCCTACTTCTGGTCAGAGACGTTCTCTCCACAATCAAGGGTCAAGGAAAGAGGGTCTGCAAGACAAGGAGATCCTGGCCATCTTCTTGCTGCTCCTAGAGAATCATTTAGAGCTTGAGATGGGCATGGCCTTAAGGGGACTTGGTGACCGATGTGTTCCTCCAAGGAGGAGAGAGCTGAGGCTCAGGATGGGAACCGATAAAGGTTTAAGTTCAACCTTGTGCCTTCCAGACCAATGCTTACCACCCTACACTCACACCATCTATTGCTCAAGTTTTCCATTTTATTCTCACTGAACGGTGGCATTCGTAAAGCCTACTAAGCTTTCTCCATCTCACAGTGATTTCCATATCTTCTGATCCCTCTGATTGCCATGTCTAAGTTTTTCATTAGGCAGTTAGCTGTGTGCTGATTTGGGACACATTTTTTGCTACTGATTTAAAATGTAATTAAGATCCAGTGTAAGCCATGCTCCCCCCAGACCTTTACTAGCCTGCTTTTAAAGTATGGGGTCACAGGGCACCTATGTGGCTCAGTTGGTTGAGCATATGACTCCTGGTTTCAGCTCAGGTCATGATCTCATGGTTCATGGGATCGAGCTACATGTCGGGCTCCACACTGGGCATGG